CCATTATTATTGTTGTTGCGAAATTCCTCAAAAATGATCTGTTTTTTATGTTTATCTTTGATTATGAGAAAACATGCTATATCAAAAGTGCCATGAAATAAAAGCTATATTAACGTCTTTGTTGTTTGAAAAGGTAACGGAGATGCCTATATGCTTCCCTGCGGCTAGCCTAACTAGAAGACTGTAGCTTTCGAAACCGCAATAGCAAATTAATTTGTGTTTCCGTCCGTGTTTTTTCACACATCATAATTAATCACTTATTGGTCAATAGTCTAACCAAGTTGTCAGTCTTTGACGATTTTAGCTTTTAGTATGTTAAATGTTAAAGTCTGGTTTATCATATTTCAGAGACTCGTAAAATTGTTTTACATTTTTTTTAGTTGTCAATATTTCAAAATTTTGATTTGAAATTCACAAGACCACTTTTTGAGGTTTAAAAATATGTTTCGTATCTAAAACACACATACATTAAAAATTAGTTTGACGCTCAATTTAGGTTTTACACAATATTATTATTATTATGTGTATGGATTTATTTGGTTAACAAGTACAAAATATATATTCCGTCGAACTACAAACAAACCGTTAACAGACGATAATAAACAGGGCAACTCAATATACGGGAAAATAAACTAACTTTGAAACTTAGATGTTTTGACACACAATATGAAACTAAATATATGGGAAAAGAAACTGAGTGCACACAACTTTGTATCCGGATCCGCCGTAGTCAAAATGTGTTGTGAAACTTTGTGGCACTTTAACAGGTGGGGTTCAGTGTTTGTAGCGCAACTTCCTGGATGGGTTGGAGGTGGTAGAAGTGATCGATGATCGTGATGTTTCGGACGAAACCCTCCTTACCAAACCCTTCCTCTAAGAAACCCAAGGTCAGATAACCTTATGCTCGAAGGGTTGTGTTCGATTACGATATTCATTTTGGAAAAGGAATAAGGAGAGAGAATTCGATGATGGGATGGGATGGGATGGGTTCTTGATTTTTTTTTTTTGAACATCTGTTAGGGTTCTTGAATTTTTAACAGAGAGTAAATTGTCGATAATAAACAATTAAGTATATGCCCTAAATTTGTATCTATTTAATATTTAATATTTGACTATAGAGTAAGAAAACAACACTTGACCATATGTATATAAATTTATTTTCTTATTATGGCCTTTGACCATATAAACAGTACTAGACATATACAGTATGATACTGTTGACACAGATGGAAAAATAATTTATGCTAAAAAATATTGTGATTATTTGGGAAATAAAATAATAGGATTAACATAACGTATTTTATACATTACGTAAATGTTTACGTTATGTTAATACTTATTCAAACTTTTTATATTTTTGAGATAAGTCGTTGTTGACTATGAACTAACTCTTTATGGTAAGAAAATAAGAAACAACAAAATAATATTGAGATTGTTTTGTGAGTAATATAATACGTGTTCAATCCCAAA